TCAAGAGTCTCTCATGGTTTGCCTCTCTCCCTCTCCCCCACCATTTCCCCCCTTCTTCTCCCCCTTGTTCCTCCGTCAAGTTCCTCCTAATCCTCCTATACGTGCAAACATATGATATTTGTCCTTCTCTGCCTGACTTATTTCGCTCAGCATAACACCCTCAAGGTCCATCCATGTTGCTACACATGGCCAGATTTCATTGTTTCTCATTGCCATGTAGTATTCCATGGTATAGATAAACCACATCTTCTTGATCCATTCATCTGTTGATGGACACTTAGGCTCTTTCCATGTTTTAGCTATTGTGGAGAGTGCTGCTATGAACATTGGGGTACATGTGCTCCTATGCCTCAGCATTTCTGTATCCCTTGGGTAAATTCCTAGCAGTGCTATTGCTGGGTCATAGGGGAGTTCTACTGTTAGTTTCCTGAGGAACCTCCACACTGTTTTCCAGAGGGGCTGTACCAGTTTACATTCCCACCAACAGTGTAGGAAGGTGCCCGTTTCTCCACATAAAACATAAAATACTCTTAAATATAGGAAATAAACAGGATTGCCAGAGGGGTTGTAGGAGGGGGGATGGGCTAACTGGGTAAGGGGCATTAAGAAACCTACTCCTGAAATCATTGTTGCACTCTATGGTAGCTAACTTGGATATAAATTAAACAGTAAACAAAATTTTAAAAAGAATAAGAAAGGCAATTTACAAAGTGGAATAAAAAGATTTTCAAAATATATTTTGTACCTAGAATATATCAAGAACGAAATAAATAAGAAAAAATACCTGAGAATCCATTTAAAAATGGACCAAAGATTTCAACAGACAAGTGACTAAAGTAAATATTCGAATGGAAATGGCCAATAAATACATTAAAAGATGCTAAATGTAACTGATAATAAGGGAAATGTAAATGAAAACCACAACAATATATACACATCAAGCATTGGGAACTTAATACAAACTGAATCTGAGTAATGGAAAAAAAACTTGTAGATAAATAGTTCTTCTTATTGGGGTCTGGGATAAACATTGAGGGGGGAGGCCTCATCATCACATATAATGGGCAGGCATAGAGTTGCACACTCAGAAAACATGCGTATACATACATTGTATGTTATGCTAATGAGATTTATGCCATGCCAGGGTGGGGATTTTAATATTATCATGAAGCTGAGGTAACTGTCAGGCACATTATGATTCATCTGCCCCGGCGTGTCCTGGGGGGTCCTACTCAAAATGTTTCTTTTCCTGTTCTAGCAATTCATTAGTTCGTTTCTAAAAGATAAAACTGATAGCTGCGCAGAAGCTTTGAGGAGTTTCCCGAATTGAGGGGTTCTCCCTGCTGGCAGAATCACATCACTTGGACCCCAAAGAAACTCTCCTCATGCCCAAAGCCTCACAAGGAGGGCTTTTGAACATTTTCTGTAACTTCTGACCTTCCCCTTCCATAAGCAAAGTGCCTCAAGCCTTTTTCTTTTTCTTAGACCCTCAGGAGACTAATTCTACCTTCCCCTTCTCTACTTTCTTCCATTTTGTCTCTTCTTCAACCAGGCTCCTTTCTCCTTCCCCTGGACCAAAGCAAACCCTCCACAAATATAAGGAGAGGCAAAGAAATATTTGAGCCCCTCCTTGAAGGATAAATGCTCAGCAGATGGAAAAAGCAAAGAAGGACATTTCAGGCAAAGGGAACAACAGAGCAAAGAAAAAGCAGGGAATTCTTGGAAGAATCACAAATAGTTCAGTAATAGGAGCCTCTTGTTTTTATTCAAAACCTTGCTACAATGTGACCTCCCCTGTGAAGGGTTCCCTGACAACTCCCAACTCTCCCAGCCCCAGATGCTCACTTATTTGTGCTCCTACACAGCACATACCCCTGTTGAGCCAACATTTATTGAGTTGGAAATTGTGCTAAGTGCTAGGAATACAGAGATAATAAGCACAATCTCCATCCCCAAGATTCTGGAAAAGAGAGAAAAACAATCTCATAATTACAACAAAAAGAAAGAACTTGGTATTGAGTGTACCAGGTGCAATTGATGGTCAAGGGCAATGCAGAAGTCAGCCCCATCCTAGCTCAAGACCAAGCTCATTGCACCGAAACTACTTGCTTACCTTTCAGGCTCCTCTTCCACATGTGAGCCCAGAGGACCACCATTTCTTATTCATACTCCTGATCTTCAGCCTAGAAACTGGTCCATAAAAGGGATCCAATCCATATGGTCTAAATGCCATGATTTCTAAGGCATTACTATACTCACTGAATGGCATAGAACTGAACAAATAGTAGAAAGAATGACTTGTTCAATGAATATTTGCAATCTATAAAAAGCGAAGGAGACATCAAGGAATGTGCTAGGCAGGAGGCAACAGTTCCTGGGAAGTCCTTGGGCCCCAGGATATGCCCAGACTCCTTACAAAAGAGAAACTGTTCCTTAATACCTTGAACAGATAACCTCCAAGAAAAAGGATGGAGTGTCCAGTCACTCAGCAAATACTCACTGGATGAATCCTATTTGCCTAAACTGTGCCAAGCAGTGTTCAAGAGTGATCACAACAATGAAAAAGACAGATGGAAATCTTTACTCTCATGGAGCTTACCTTCTAGTGGAAGGGAGAGAGTATTTTTTTAAATGCAAATTATAAAGTATGCTAGGTGGTAAATATTATGGAGAAAAAGAAATCCAAAGGCAGCTGAAATGTCCAGGGGTGACGGTTGGTGATGAGGGAAGACCGGTCCTCTCTGAGACAGAATGTGTGCATTAAAGGCCTTCTGGAGATGAAAGAGTGAGCCACATGCGCACCTGAGAAACACACATATAGGCGGAGTGAACTGCAGGTGGACCAGTTCCTACTCAAGGAATGACCAGGCCAGCATAGTTTGAGCAAAGTGAACTGGTTTGGGGAGAGTTATAGGAAAATAGGTCAAAGACACAAGCATAAGCAGATCATTTTGGTCTTTAAAAATTTTTTTTGCTAATGTTTATTTATTTTTGAGAGAAAGAGAGAGAGTAGAGCAGGGGATGGGCAGAGAGAGAGGGAGACATGAATCTGAAGCAGGCTCCAGGCTCCGAGCTGTCAGCACAGAGCCCAACGTGGATCTCTAACTCACAAACTGCAAGATCATGACCTGAGCTGAAGTTGGACACTTAACCGACTGAGCCACCCAGGTATCCCTCATCTTGGTCTCTATAGGCTATTGTCACTGTCTTAGTTTGGTTTGGGTTTTGTTGGCATTCTAACATTTTTTACTGAATATAACACACAAAGAGAAAACTATACAAATCCTAAGTGTGAACTCAATCACAAAATGAATAAATCCACATATCCAGACAAAGGTCAAGAACTAGACATTTGCAGCACCCTTTATGCTCCCTCCTACCTGCTCTCTCTCGCTCCTCCTTAAAGGTAAACACTGTCCTGAATTCAAGCAACAGATCTGTTTTGCCTGTTTTTAAACTTTCAATAAATGGGATCGACAACAACAAAAGGCAAAATAAATCTTTTACTCAAGATTTTGCTTGTGATAGTCACCCATGTGGTTCCTAGAGAGAAGAAAGGTTAAGATGACAAGTCTTCCCCACCTCATTAAACCCCTGACAGGAAAGATGAGGTGCAGGGGGGAATTGCTGGCAGTGTTCATTGTCTGACATCTGCATGACCATCAAGGAAGGAAAGAGGAAATGTGAGCTTGCCCAAGAGCTGAGCATCAGGATCCTGAGAGATAGCTCCTCTCTGCTTAGATCTTCTCCTGTGAAGTAAGAGATCTGGAGAAGGCTGGGGTCCTGGTTACAGTTATGTGTTCACTGATTCACTCAAATACTTCCAGATCTTAATTCTATGTCAGGCACAGTGCCAAGATACAAAAATAGTCAGCACATGGCCAGTTAGACAAACAAGTGAAAAGAGGACTACAAAATGGTATGACGAGTGCTAAGTATTTGCAAAGGATGTTTAGAAAGCATCAGAAAGTGAGGCGCCTGGGTGGCTAATTTGGTTAAGCGTCCGACTTGGGCTCAGGTCATGATCTTGCAGTTCATGGGTTCGTGAGCTGCTGACAGTTCAGAGCCTGGAACCTGTTTCGGATTCTGTGTCTCCCTCTCTCTCTGCCCCTCTCCTGCTTGTGCTCTGTCTCAAAAATAAATAAACATTAAAAAAAAGAATCGTGACCTTTTTACATTTTTTGCTCAAACATAAATCGCTCTGAGATAGGCTCATGAGAATACGGCCATTATCTATTCCTTTGAAGTTATATTTATTACTTCTATATCAGTTTTATCTCCTTAACTTTAAGAATAGAAAAGATATTTTCTGGTATCATAAAAAGAGCAAAAAGTAGGTGAAGTCAAAATAGTTGGGTTTGGATCCTGATCCTTATTCTTTAGCTGTGTGACCCTGGGAAAAATGACTTAAACTCTCCGTGCCTTAGTTCTTTTATCTATAAATGGAGATGATAATATCCATCCTACCTGCCTCCCAGAATTGCATCAGCATCAAAGGAAATAATGAATAAGAACTGTAAATTCTTATTATCAGTCCTCTAAACCGCTCCCTTCCCCCCAAACCTACTATGTCTGGCACAGCAGATAATCAGTAAGTGTTGAGCTTTCATTAAACTTCATCAGCAAAAACTTGTGGGTTTTGGAGTCTATGCTAGGGAGCTGATGCAGTTCCCTGTCCAGGGGGATGGGCCCAGAGAACTCAGAGGCTGGAGTCAGATATTGTGGCCGTGACTTGAGAGTGACTAGCCAGGGTGGGAGGGTCGACTGGGCCAGAACCGTCTAGGCCAACTTCCCATTATCCAAGAATGCCAGACATTTTGTTGGGAATAGGGCCTCTGTGATTGTCTATTTCAGTACTTCTCTTAACCCTGTCTCTCTTCATCCTATTTCTTGGCATCAGTATCAGAAGGCTCTAACACATGGGCCAAGGTAAGGGAAGGGGTGTGGGAAGCAAGGGGTGATCAGTGGAGGTTGTAACAATTTCCCTTTTGTGTTTATAGGGAACACAGCTTCACAAGCCAGCTCAACCTCACTGATGGTGAACGGGGCTCTGGGGGAGTCGATAACTCTTCCCTTGAAGCTTCCTGCGTCTGGGATTGCTAATTCCATCACCTGGCTTTACAATGGAACATCTCTAACCTTCATAAATCTAAGTGGTGCTTCAAGTCCAAAGATCATAGTGACTAATCCAAAATGGAAAGATCTGCTGCAATTCACCAGCAACTACTCCTTACAGCTCAGCAACCTGACAATGGCTGACGCAGGATCTTACCACGCCCAGATAACCACACAAAACTCTACAGTGTTTTCCAGCTACACGCTGAGGATCTTCAGTGAGTTAAAGCGTGGGGGTTAATTGTGTATGGACTTAAAGGTATTACGTATGTCAATCCTATGTGGCTGCGAGTATCCACTATAGCCTAGTGGTAAACAGCGTAGCACTTGGAGTCAGATTGAGGTCCAGCAGTAAAGAAACTCAATGGCATCGCTCAGCCAGTTAGTGACAGAGTGGAGAATAGAACCTGTCTTGTGACTCCTGGCCCCAGATCACATCACTCTCCCTCACACAATAAAATAGTCCCTCTTGGGGCACCTGAGTGGCTCAGTCGATTAAGCACCTGACTTTTCATTTCAGCTCAGGTCATGATCTCAGAGTTGTAAGATCAAGTTCCACTCCCAACTCCATGATGACAGCATGGAGCCCGACTGGGATTCTCTCTCTCTCTCTCTGTCCCTCACCTGCTCTCACTCGCTCACTGTCTTTCTCTCAAAGTAAATAATAAACTTAAAAAAAAATAGTTCCTCCTGACCAGAAATGCAATGGAAGTGGGGCACCTGGCTGGCTCAGTCAGAAGGGGACAACTTTTGATCTCGGGGTCATGAGTTCAAGCCCCACATTGGGTGTAGAGATTACTTAAATAAATAAAACTTAAAAAAAAAAAAGAAATGTAATGGAAGTAACAGAAGTGAAATGGCTATGACTCTGTTACCATGTACATTACCTGTATCTGTCAGATAATCTTCACCAAAGCTCCATGTGGTAGATGCTAACCCTTACCCCTGGCATAGCATCAGTCACAGCAACCTGCCTACAGTCACAGAAGAGTCAGTAAATGGGAGAATTTCTCACATGACTAGCTGGCATGATACCTCCTTTTACACAAAGGCTAGTCTGACTCAATGGAGAATGATCAGTGTACGGAACAGTGGGGTATGTAAAAAGTGCTCTATAAGGATGAGCTGATAACAAGAAAGATCTTTTCTACAAGGTTATTTAATTTCTAGGAATATTTTCCCCAGATGGTTCATGTCCTCAACATAAAATTATGGAAACCAGGAGACAGCTTACCAATCAGCATCAGAAAAAAGAGATCCTCTTAGCAATCAGTGGTGTTCAGAGATGCTCTGACTGCCTTTAAGACAATCACTTAGCAGGAATGTTGCATAGAAGATTCAAGCATTAAACCGGCAACTTTGAAGGTCACTGAGATTCTGTGCTTCTCATCTACCTGAGAGGCTATGGTGTCTAAAACTCACCCAGAGCCCTTTGGGTTAAGACATGGAATCCGAAAAAGCACTTCAGTTAAAATAAGATGTCACCACAAATAGATTACATGTGAACCTTTAGAATTCCCTGAATATTTGGCAGATTTACCATGTTAAATCAGTCAAAGTCATTTCCCTAAAAGAACAGGACACAGAACAAGTAGATATAATAGGAAAGAGAGGTTGTCTAGGAAAGTCTGCACAAGAATTCCAACCAAACAGGCAAAATTGCCCTGAGACAATGTATTGGTATCTTGAAGCTGCTAAAATGAAACACCACGAACTTGGTGGCTAACAACAGAAATTTTATTCTCTCACAATTATGGAAGCCCGAAGTCCAAAATCAAGGTGTGGGCAGGGCCACTGTCCCTCTGGAGGCCCTAGAAGGCAATCTGTCCTTTGCCTCTTCCAGCTTCTGGTGGAATGCTGCTGGCACTGCTTAATGTTTGGTGGCCTGTGTCTGTATCATGCCAATCTCTGCCTCCCTGTCACATTGCCTCCTGCTTTCCCTATGTTTTCTCCTTTTCTGTCTCAAATATCTCTCTGCTTTCCTCTTACAAGGACACTTATCACTGGATTTAGGGCCCACCCAGATAATCCAGAATCATCTCATCATCTCACTTAATTACATCTGCAAAGACCCTTTTCTAAATAAGAGTCTGGGAATTAGGACATGGAGATATCTTTTAGAAGGGGGGGGGTCATCATTCAACCCACAGAGGCAGAATCACTGAGTGACCGGTGGTCATCAAGGCAGTGCTAGGACCCTGGAGAGAAGGGAGACATCCAGTGGAAAGTCTGAGAGAAGGGAGACATCCATGAGAATAGACCCCATATTGGGCTCCATCACACCGTTGAGACAATGTTCTTTTGCTACTGGTCAGAAGACAAACATGACTTCTTCTGCAATAACCATACTCACGAGGTTCAATGCCAATCCCTTCTTAGGGCCTTTTGGCATCAGGAAAGACAAGGGACAGAAGTCATTTTTAAATGGAGTAGTCATGGGGCACCTGGGTGTTTTGATCAGTTGAACCTCCAACTTCGGCTCAGGTCATGATCTCGTGGTTTGTGGGTTTGAGTCCAGCATCCGGCTCTGTGCTGACAGCTCACAACCTGGAGCCTGCTTCAGATTCTGTGTCTCCCTCTCTCTGGCCCTCCCCTGTTTGCACTTTCTTTCTCTCAAAAGTAAATAAACATTAAAATTTTTTTTAAATAAATGGAGTGATCATAATAGGCTGAGAAGATAGTATCTGAGCCAAAGCCATCAGAGGTAAGGGAGTGAGCCATGCAGACAGTTGAATCAAGAGGTGTCCCCTGTGCCTGGCATGCTCAAGGAACACCAAGGAGGTCAAACACCAAGAAGCAGAGTGAAGGGTGAGGAACAAGAAATCAGGTCAGTAAGAAAATAGAGGCCACATCACGTAATGGCTCTGAGAGCCTTCACAGGGACTTTGGCCACTACTTTCAGTGAGATTGAGAACCATCAAAGAGTTTTGTAGAGCAGTAGTATGACTTGACTTATTTGGTTCCATAAAGAAATCCTTTGGCTGCCCTGTTAAGAATAGACTGTAAGATACAGCCCCTCTGGAAAACAGTGTGGAGGTTCCTCAGGAAACTAACAATAGAACTCCCTTATGACCCAGCAATAGCACTGCTAGGAATTTACCCAAGGGATACAGAAA